CTATTTATCTTTTGAGAGGGTGTTAATTTGTTTGTGAGAGAAGCGTGTTTCCATTTGCATTATGAATCAGGTGTAAATCCCATCTCAACATGTTACTGCTCTCCAAACCACTAATGAGGCAAAAAGAAAGGAAGTGCAAGCTCCAAATACACGACACTGGCCTGAGAATTAAAATAACAAATTTAAGAGCGTGTTCATCACCAATTAACATTGTAATCTTACAGTCATGTGTTCTATTCTCAGAGAAAGATTACAAATATTGGTCAGTGGGACTGGTTAAGAACGGTTGTAAAATGTAATCAAAAAATCTTGTTTAAAAATAGCTAATTTTTTTCCAGAGCATCTGCGGGATTTCTCTCACAAGAGACCAGAAAGTGGAAAATGGAAAACACAAATGAAAAGCTTTACATGCATGGGTGAACTGCTGCTGCAAAATATTTCATTTCTATTATAATAAATATAATTTAAATATTAGTTTTAAAATTGGAAGATTTATTAATATAATAGTAATAATAATAATATTAAAAAATATATATATTATATTATCATACATATTTCTTAATCTATAAATAAAGATATATTTAGAAGATATATTTATCTAAATGTATCTATTTCAACATATTTATTAATTTATTTGTAGATTTTCATGCTAAAAAAAAACATGAAGATGCACTTTAAATCTCAGTCCTACAGTGTATGGTGTTTTCATCTGAACATCGTGCTGGAGGAAGTCTGGCAGTCAGATGCGATTCTCAGGAGCTATTCTGTTTTACCCTGATTGTGTTAGGCAGGGAAAAGCTGATCAGGGAGCATTTTTATCCCTAGGCTGATGATAAGATGAGGAGATCTGGCTCCAAGAGCACCAGCAACACAACCGGTTTGAACCATGTGCCGCCGCCCAACGTAACCTCCTCCCCTCCCCCTCAAGCACCTACACAACTACACAACACATCAACAGCCATGGACCCTAGAGAAACAGCCCTATCAGCAGCGCTCAGCTGGTCACTATTTAAAAAAAACTGTTTGGTTGGAACTCGGAGTGCAGCCCAAGCCGAGAACAGAGCTGTGCCTATCTCCAGGGGTTGAGGGGACTTGGAGCCATCACAAAGACATTAAGGCATCAAGTAGAGGAAAGGCAAAAAGAAAGGGGAAAAAACCCTTTTATAGGATCTTATCACCAGACTTTATGAACACAGGAGGAACTACAGAGAAATCGACATCATTGAACAGTTTCCCACAGCACCACGTCACCCAAGACAACACAAATTTACTTGCTATTGAGGACTAAACTTTCTCTTTCCCCATTAATTAAAACTGGCCTGATAACTCTTTTAGAAACTGCTGTTTAGCGCACCCTTGGAGAACATTTCCGAAAACAACGCATCTGCCAGGAGCTTCTTTATTTCTGTCTACATCAAAGGCAATTAATTTCTGAGCTTTTTATTTCTGCATGCTAAGCTTCATTCATTGTTCTAGTAAACACCCACTATTCGCAAACGAATTAGATAGGAGCAAAACTGGATCGTATTGAGACCAGAACACTTAAAGTTCGTTAATCACGCATGAGATAGTGGCCGAGCTGTAATTCAACGGTAACCGAGGTTGACAAATTTGCCAAGGCAGTTAGCGTATAACTGAAAACATGATTTAGATATCAGGCATGAGAAAATACAAACAGGAATGAACATTAATTTCTCTCACGGTCATTTACTCACTTGCACAGAATGTCTTTAGTCGCTTCATCAAATCCGCTTGTTCTAATTAGAGCTCAACACTCAATGAATCAATAAAGAATTTTTTCACTTTTGCACACTGGGTTGTTAGGAAAATTAATTTCAAACAGGTCATCTTGTGTAGTCTGCACATCTCTTACTTAATAATGAATTTGTATTTAGTTGCATTCTACTAATTAAGAGTTAAATCTACTAATTGAGAGTTAATTAGTAATTGTTTTGAAAGGGTAATCTCACGAATTGCCTTCGGGCTATGTAGATGTCACATAATGTCAAGATAAACTTTTAAATAAATATAATTTAAATATTAGTTTTAAAATTGGAAGATTTATTAATATAATAGTAATAATAATAATATTAAAAAATATATATATTATATTATCATACATATTTCTTAATCTATAAATAAAGATATATTTAGAAGATATATTTATCTAAATGTATCTATTTCAACATATTTATTAATTTATTTGTAGATTTTCATGCTAAAAAAAAACATGAAGATGCACTTTAAATCTCAGTCCTACAGTGTATGGTGTTTTCATCTGAACATCGTGCTGGAGGAAGTCTGGCAGTCAGATGCGATTCTCAGGAGCTATTCTGTTTTACCCTGATTGTGTTAGGCAGGGAAAAGCTGATCAGGGAGCATTTTTATCCCTAGGCTGATGATAAGATGAGGAGATCTGGCTCCAAGAGCACCAGCAACACAACCGGTTTGAACCATGTGCCGCCGCCCAACGTAACCTCCTCCCCTCCCCCTCAAGCACCTACACAACTACACAACACATCAACAGCCATGGACCCTAGAGAAACAGCCCTATCAGCAGCGCTCAGCTGGTCACTATTTAAAAAAAACTGTTTGGTTGGAACTCGGAGTGCAGCCCAAGCCGAGAACAGAGCTGTGCCTATCTCCAGGGGTTGAGGGGACTTGGAGCCATCACAAAGACATTTAGGCATCAAGTAGAGGAAAGGCAAAAAGAAAGGGAAAAAAACCCTTTTATAGGATCTTATCACCAGACTTTATGAACACAGGAGGAACTACAGAGAAATCGACATCATTGAACAGTTTCCCACAGCACCACGTCACCCAAGACAACACAAATTTACTTGCTATTGAGGACTAAACTTTCTCTTTCCCCATTAATTAAAACTGGCCTGATAACTCTTTTAGAAACTGCTGTTTAGCGCACCCTTGGAGAACATTTCCGAAAACAACGCATCTGCCAGGAGCTTCTTTATTTCTGTCTACATCAAAGGCAATTAATTTCTGAGCTTTTTATTTCTGCATGCTAAGCTTCATTCATTGTTCTAGTAAACACCCACTATTCGCAAACGAATTAGATAGGAGCAAAACTGGATCGTATTGAGACCAGAACACTTAAAGTTCGTTAATCACGCATGAGATAGTGGCCGAGCTGTAATTCAACGGTAACCGAGGTTGACAAATTTGCCAAGGCAGTTAGCGTATAACTGAAAACATGATTTAGATATCAGGCATGAGAAAATACAAACAGGAATGAACATTAATTTCTCTCACGGTCATTTACTCACTTGCACAGAATGTCTTTAGTCGCTTCATCAAATCCGCTTGTTCTAATTAGAGCTCAACACTCAATGAATCAAAGAATTTTCTCACTTTTGCACACTGGGTTGTTAGGAAAATTAATTTCAAACAGGTCATCTTGTGTAGTCTGCACATCTCTTACTTAATAATGAATTTGTATTTAGTTGCATTCTACTAATTAAGAGTTAAATCTACTAATTGAGAGTTAATTAGTAATTGTTTTGAAAGGGTAATCTCACGAATTGCCTTTGGGCTATGTAGATGTCACATAATGTCAAGATAAACTTTTAAATATGTTCCCCTAGAAGGTGCAGTCGTTTTATAACACCTATCGTTAAAGTACAGTGGTTTTGAACAGGTGAGATTCAGGTCTGTTCTGTTAAAGGGATAGTTCACCCAAAAATGAAAATTCTGTTATTAATGACTTACCCTTATGTCATTCCAAACCTGTAAGACCTTTGTTCAACCATAATTTTCTGAAGCTACGAGAATACTTTTTGTGTGCAAAGAAAATAAAAATAAAGTAGCTTCATAACATTACGATTGAACCACTGATGTCACATGGATTATTTTAAAGATGTCCCTACCTTTCTGTACCTTCACCGTAGGACCCTTGCTGTCTATGGAGGGTCAGAAGGCTCTCGGATTTCATCAAAAATATCTTAATTTGTGTTCTGAATATGAACGAACATTTTACAGGTTTGGAACAACATATGGGTGAGTAATTAATGACAGAATTTAAATTTTTGGGTGAACTATCTCTAAGATTGTGGACAAACCTCCCACATCTTTTGATGATGTCAAAGATTGTGTGATTATGGCATTTTGATGTAAACAACATGGTAGAAGCCAGTCAAATTAGACAGATTTCAACATGGATAGGTTGCATGACATGTCCTCATCTTTGAAAACCATGAACAAAGCTACACAAGGTACTGTACAAGGAAACACAATCCAGGCTACATTTTGGGTCCCATACTTTTCAAAAAAATTAATTTCCAGACTTTTCCAATCATTTGTTAGGATTACTGGTAAATGCTTTTAAAATCTTCTAAAGAACACAGTTACTGTACAGAGAGTAATTTGTAGTCAAATGAATGACTAGAATAAATGTAAGTAGTAAAGAAATTCCTTGAATTTTCCATGACATTTTCAGAGTCTATTAATTTGTGAGACTTTTCGAGGCCCGGATATAACACTTTTGAAATTACCAGATACCTCAGGACTGTGGGAATCACACGGGATCACTTGATAAATGTGGTTTGCGCTGACAACAGTGAATTTGGAGAGCATGAAATCATCCAAATTCAAGGGCCATGCAGAAACTAAAATTGTCAATTTATCTATTCAGCCTACATTAGAAACAGCATGCCTACTCAAACTGAGTGGGCATGATCTTGAGCCAAGTGAATTTTGAATACAACTTCCAAAAACTAAAAAAAATGAAATAGTTTTACTTGATTATTTAATTTTCATGGTATTTGCAGGTTAAGTATTAACAGTGCTGCAAATATTTTTTGGGGGTGGGTGAACCGTTGGGGGCAAAAAATATGTCATCACAAATATGTCAACAAAACATGGTTAACAAACCCTTTTTTCAAATGTACTTTTGATTAATTATCAAAATGTCAGATATGCTCTTTTCCATCAAATGAATAAAATAAAGTATCACTAAAAAAGTACTACAAGAGTTGGTCACTCACCTTAAAGTGAAGATCTCTACTGATGAAAGGGTGGAGACTGCTAGGAAGGCTGACACCGTCTCCCTCTGCCTGATGGGTCTGGAGGGAACCATCACCACAAAGTTACTGTCCAAACGCAGCTCAGAGAGCGGCTGGAATAGGCGTACGCTGCCGATCCTGCGCATGGGTGTGGGCCCTGAGAAGTACCCGGCAGGGCCCAGCTGCCCAGTGCGGATGGAATTGGTCTTGCGGGAGTCTTCCGAGCTGCATTCCCCAGTGTCGGTGGATTGTAGCATGTAATACAGCTCCACAGGAGTGCCTTCAACCAGCTCGGGAGATCTCTGTCGACCTGGTATGACACTAGGGGGACTGAACCAGCTAGGCAGAGGCTCCAGTTCAGCCACGCACAGTCCGAGTTCCCCTTTTAGATGACAGGTGCCTCGTACCTCTTGGGTTTCGTGGAAGGCAAACATCCTGACACACGGCAACTTGTCCACCGCACTGTAGTCATCCCAGTCCCGGCCCACAACGTAGAAGAGAACCTGAACCTTCGGCCAACTTGGATGGATTCGCTCACTGATAATAAAAGTCTGCACTTTCCAGTTAAAACTAAAGAGAGGAGAGGAAGTGGACGATGGCGACGTGGATGGGGGGTTGTTGAAGAGTTCCGGGCCCAGAAGCTCCGCAGGCACAGGTTGTTCTACATACAGTGGTCCGTAACTGGCATTGACCGACGGCGTCTTTCTGGCTTGTTGGATGAAGAAAAGTTCTGTACGAACCTGCAGGCTGGAGTTCCTCATGATGTCCTGGTTGGCCTCCTTTAGGAAGAAGGCAGACTCTGCATTCAGCACCTGGTATCGGACCGGAAGATAAGTCGGGATGGCACCGAATCTCTGCAGTCCTTCCATCAGCATCCGACTGTCGATGACTGACAAATAACAGAGAAGACAAAAAAGACATCACTCATCCATCTATCAGACCTCTAAGCCCGACCTAGCTACTTGCATGCTCTTACATGCTTTAAAGTAAGAGTCATTTGTCTCCCGCCCCATTCTGCAATCCCATCTCCAGGCAACTGGACTCTTTTATTGAATGCCTTCAACCAGCAGTTCACTGCAGATATTTGGGGTGATGGAAGGACCCAAGAGGCTCCATTGATTTTGCGTCACAGCGCTGGTCTGAGAGAAAGAGATGCTGGAGATTTGTGACAGCTGGTGGCAGACAAATGCTATTGGTGCTTGAGGCAGACACTACAGCACAGCAAGAGGATGCTTATATACCATTGTGTAACATGAAGTATTTTATGGGTTGTTTAAAGGTTTTATATATAGCTTGAGTCTGGGGATATATTCTACTGAATTTGTATACAGTTAATTTTGTTTTATTATTCTGTTAATGTAAATCACCCATAATAAATCAAATCATCTCATGAATATTGAGTAAATATAGTGGAATCAGTTTGCTTTGTTTCAGGGGAGCCAGATATTGAGAAGAGTAATGCAAAGTGTCAGTGAAGAAAGGTGGGAGAAAAAGTTTACTCAAAGACTATTTTCCTGTGGTACTAAAACATTATTCTTTTTGGCAGCAATAAAAAAGAAGAGAGAAAAAGTGAGAAAGATAAAGAGTAAAGACTCGAAAGAAAAAAAGAAATCAGAGAAATAAAGCACAAAGGGCGCACTGAATGCGGTGCTGCAACAAACTGATTAATAACTCAAGTTAAATTTTGATTTCTTTAAAAAAAAAAAAAAGTATTTCATTTGGAAACAATAAGAATAACATGTCTAGTCATTTGGAATAATCAGATGGGAATATGGCAGTAAACCAGCAATTTTTTGTTTCTCTCTCAAAATAAATGTTTAGCCAAAATATTATGTGGACCATGTGTACTGAAAATTACAGTGAAACTTCTAGTGAACCTTTGTTCACACTTAATGAAATCAAGAAAGAAGTGTGATTAAAAGAAAGAAAGAAAGGAGACACAACAACGCTAAAATTTATGCCAACTACGATTAGCAAGTTAATGGCTGATAATAGATCAATTATATTATATAGGCCTATACATAAATTTGACAAATTTACATGATACTTAAATATTTTGGCAACAGATAAAAACATATCCTGATCATTAGGATACAGACTAATATGATATTCTGGCATGAAATTCAAGCATTTACAGCATATTAACTCATCAAATATTCAATATATTACAATAAAATAATTCTCTATAAATATAAGTAATAAAAATGTAAGAATATGTATATATTTTA